AAAATGCCTTAGTTTCCTGGGTGTCAAGGAATGCTATCAGTGTGTAATGGATGATCTCTCCAGGAAGAAAGAAGACCATTTGGCTTGCTCACTAAAAATCAAGAGAAGTGGGCTTTACTAGAAGGCATAACTCAATTACCCCACTTCCAATGTCTTTTGTGGACAGAATTTTAGTTTCTCAAAATTTCTATAATTTCCTGAGAACTTCTCCCTCACAATGCACACCCTGCTTTTATTAAAAAAAACACAGCACAGTAAAATCCATAAATAATCTGGATGTTATGGTATACAAGCACAGTTCTTCTGTCAGTCAAATTGCAGGATTTATCATGACATGCATTACCTCTTCAGGCAACTCTTTAACTCCTTTCCTATTCCTTTTCTAAATGCCATAAAGAGGAAATTCTGACTCATTATGAATATAGTTACACAGAAAAGCTACCACACTACCATGCAAACTTAAAAGCTGCACATGTGAATGCTTTTGCCTAAAATAACTGAGAGCCAGCTTATCATTGAGAATTGGGTGACTTTAAATTATCTCCTCTTGGATGGAGCATATTTCACTTCACATCACTGTAACTTATTCATGTTGCCATGCCCTTACTGCCTTGCATCTCCACAGCTCCCTGAAGAGACCATAGTAACAGCTGACAAGCAGAACAACTACCAAGGAAATGGAGGCTTTTACACAGCAAAGAGCCATTTGTAAATGGCTGCAGCTCACTAATCTTAACTGGTGCCAAACACAGCACAACTCATTTTCTGAGTACATATATGTATTTTTCAGTACTACCACCACCACTCCTCATACAGCATGAACAGGAGTCCTTTTATTCACAACATCCACAGAGACCTGGCAGTACACCAATGCATATTTTACAGAATGATAATGTGGGCATCCAAGAGTCTTTACCACCATCTGACATTGACACAACATCTCTCTCATCTCTATAATGGAATGTGGCATCTCCATTTCCCTAATCTTGCATTAGTGCTCATGCACCTGCACAGTGACAGCCATTCCGAGGTCAATGTGATGAGCAGGGAACTGATTGGATTGAGAGTCTTTGCCAACTGCATAACCACTAAATGCAGCTTGATACAGAGGATGAGTCCAAGCAGCTAGAGAAAGGGGAAACTGCTCCTTTCAGCAGCAGAGACACACGACAGCATCAGAACTACACATCACAGGCTCCTAAATTCTCAGTTATGAGTGCCCAGAAACTTTGCCTTACTTTTTATCAGGGCATAGATACTCTATATTTTGCCAATAGCCAGACACTTAAAGCTCTGATACCGTGCCATCACCTTGGTGGAGCAGAACTTAAAGGCCCACAGGAAGGTCTACTCGAGATGCACAAACCAGACATTTGCACACTGCAGTCCCACAAGGACCCTACCTGGGGAACTGCAGCCACAGCAGATATGCTGGAATGCAGATAACGCAAAGCACGGTGTCCTAGCAGCTTTACTCAAAAGCTCAGGACAACTTGGCAACAGTAGTTTCTTAATAATGACTAATAAATTCACTTACAACATAAGAAGCCTGTACCACATGCCCTGTTCCACACAAAAGAGCTCAACCCCACATCGCAACTCAACTAGGAATGCCTTTGTATGAGTAAGGCTGACAGAAACACTCCTCTCTTCACTGAAACTGTACTGAGGCACAGGAAGGAACATAAAAGTTTTGCTCCAACGACAGCTTATGAAGTGGCTTATGCGGAAAGGAGTTCCTGGGGAGAACTAAAAACCACTTTGGGAAGCACAGACCAGAACTGAGGATGCACCTCATCCCAAAGGAATGCCCCTGCCACGGTGCTTCACCCACAGCAGGGAGGATGACTAACCTGGCACTGAGGAGGGAGCTCACATTCCTCTCCATACACAGTGGCAGGTTCAGCCAGGGGATCACACTGAGCTTGGCCCATTTTCAGGTTTGGCCTCCCTTGGGAGACACCAGCTGCAGGCTTCAAACCAGGCTTCCCATTTGCCAGGCCAAGTGCTCTATCCTCCAAGTCAACAGCTCTCAAGGTACCATTCAGGGATCACTGATCCCCTGCAACAGGTCTGGGAAAACACGCCACCTTTTTGCTCACCACCCTGCTCAGAAGCCTGGAGATGTGGATACATTAAGGGCTGCACTGGGCTCTATCTAATTCAACAATTGGGAACCATTGGTCTGGGCAACAAATGTGGAGGTAAATACAAGCAACAGGCACTGCCTTCATCTCCTTGGGCTGCACCTGGAAGGCACAGCCAAGGCTGTTACGCTTTACTGTGAGGAACAAATGTGTGGCTGAGCTCAACGGCCTTTGATACAAGGAAGATTCTCTTGTGCATACAAAGCTTAGGCAATAGACCCAAGACACTGTTCAGGCAGAACAGCTGCCATGCCAGTCACACAGGAAGTTTCAAGGTGGATACAAACATAAGGAAAGTATTTAAGGTTCTTGTCCAGTCTTTGTGAGCAGAAAGCTGAAGGCAGGACTGCCTATGCCCCAGAGCTGCAGCTTAACTGCTGGTCCACTCACACTGGCTCATTTCAGTTCAGATAATCTAACCTAAAACCTGGCAACACTTTAAGAGAGCAGTCTAGCACTTCGACTCTGTCACTCAAGAGGATGATTCAAACAGATTTTGAAATGTCTGTCCATGACTGCTCTAGGATGTCAGTGCTTTGCACTAGAAGTGGCTGCCCTGACAGACTGTAAAGAAATGAAGATTCTTATCCTAACAATACCCCTAATTTCAACCCAGCATGCTTCAGGAGTTCATTAGGAGGTTTCTCTTACTTTCCTGGACTATATAATTGCTTCATTACAAACCCGTACAAACAAATCTGAACTTTGCAGTCATCCAGAAAGTATATCCCTGGGCAACAGGCAAATAAATTCCAAGTAACAGTCACCATAAAGTACATAGAGTAGACAGACACATAGTCCACTCTAACACATGAATCACTGTACAGGAATGAGTACGTTTGTCTTGCTTCTTACCATATACAAGATTTCTGGTAAGATGTACGTTGAGCTTGGCACCACTTTTTCTACAGCTAAAAAAGCTTACAAACACACAAGTAATCAAGTAGATGTTATGCATAGAACACTTGAAATCTTTGCCTAGATGAACGCAGCACTCCTCCAGTGTGAGTGGAAGCTACCAGGAAGAAAAATGGAGCATACAAAATATCAGCACAACTTGCTCCAGTGACTGTACTTACCCTTAAACCCAAATGTTTAACTCTACTTTTACAGAAACACTAATAATGCTTTTAAAAAAGTACAAAAGCATGTATGAACATACATCTCTGTCCAATTTCTATAAATGTTACTCAAAGCGAGCTTAGCCTGCACAGGACGAGATAGACTAATTTTCACCAAGAAATTAGTAAAGTGTAGCAACGGAGACACTTCGGGGTCAATTTTTACAGCATCATGAGGACCTAAAACTATTAATAAATTTGTACAGTACACAAAGAAATTACAGATCCACGTTATGTAACACAAGTGTAAGGAATTTCTGAAGTAGAGAGAAACAAAGCAAAGCACCTAGACAGAATAAAAAACAAGGGCAATGGAGAGCAAAACGTCAGTTTTGGAGATTGCTAAACACAACCGTGTACAGCACATAATACCAAGAACAGAAGACAAATTACTACAGAAAGTTTTTAATGGATTTTCTGAGATTCTTCTTAGTTTCTGGACATGAAAACTAACTGATACCAAACCTCAAGGCCCTAAAAACTATGTTTTTCTTAATACAAGTTAAAAGGTATTTCTGAGCATCACAAAAACTAATCTAAAATCTCTTCGGCAAGGTCAAAACTTAGCCTTATTCATCCACAAGTATTTTGTTGGAGAACAACGTAAAATTTAAAAATACTTTAAACCAGAACTTGCGGCCTTTTCTTTATATTTTAAAAAAATGATAAATTTTGCTGAAGTTTGACAGAGGGGATACGTAATGCCAAGTACATAAGCTGCTGGAAAAGCTTCTGTCATTTTCTTGAAACAGTTTTCTGTTTCTTTTGCTTCCTTCATCCTTACAGAAAGAAGCAAGTGCTGCCAACGGAAATTTCACAGGGATAGGTGTTTTTAGCATGACATGCTTCAATAAAGTATATTTGAAGTCTTGTAAAATATACTCTGTAAAGTTTGAAAAGACTTCACAGAAACCACCACACAGGTTATACCATTTATTTTTTCAATTATCAAAACTGATTTAATATCCTTGTTATGAACTATTAGAATTAAATAAGTCAGAAAAAAATGTTACTCAGTATCAGAAGCTGTAATGCATGTGTCACAAGACCTTAGACCCGTAACTCCCAATGAAATAATAAAATTGTGTAATATACTGCATAAATCATCCTCTGAGCTATTCAGATAAAGTCTAAGTACTGCTTATCAAACTAACCTTTACCTCTGGGACTGCACAAAATAGACGCAGTTATACCACCTTTGGATGTCTCATTCATGTCTCAGGTGAATACAAGCTTACTCAGGGGTTTGTGGTCCCTAATTTTATATGTTTTCACATGACGTGAAGGAAAGTTATTTTCAGTCGCTTAACTCTTCCTAATAATAATTCGGTTCGTAACAAGGTCCGCAGAGATCCGGGAATACGAGAGACTTCTCGGCAAGCAGCGGGCCGAAATTAACCCGGGTGGGCAGTACCGCGGGGCTGTGCCGGGCCCTCGCACGCCCACGGGGACGCTGCGCCGCCCTGGATCGGGTTTCCCGGGAGCGATCGGCAGCGCCCAGGTGAGCGGGAGGCAGGAGCGCACAGCCGCGGCCCGGCGGAGCGGGGTACCCGGGGCACGGCGAGCCCTGCGGCCGCGGCCCCGGCCCCGGCAGGCACAGCCGACTCCGGGAACACGCACCGAGTACGGAACGCCTGCGGGCCACGGTGGAGCCCCGAGCGGCCCCAGCCCCATCCCGCGGCCGCCGCCTGCCCCGGCGCTCCCCGCGGCGCGGCCAGGGCCGCCTCCTTACCGGCACAGCTCGGCGAAGGCCTGGAAATTCAGTTTCCTGATCTTCTTCTCGCTCAGCCAGTATCCCACCCGCTTCCCCTTCAGGAAGGTCTGCATGGTGCCGCCCCGCGAGCAGGGGACCAGCCCGGGGCGGCGGGGCAGCACAGCTGCCGCTCGCACTCGGCGCCTGCCAGCGACGGCTGCAAGGCAAGCAGAGAAAGGAGGATCAGCCGGTTCCCCGCGGCGGGCGCTGCCCCCCGCCCGCCCCAGCTGAGCCGCGCCAGGCGCAGCCCCCAGCGGGCGGGCAGCCCCGGCAGGCCCTGCCCCGCACCGGCGGGCAGCTCGCCCAGGCGGGCAGAGAGGAGCCGCTCCCCGCACCAGCCCCCGACACACACCGCCGCTGCCGCTGCTCGCCCCGCGGCACGCCCGCAGCGCCCGCCCGCACGGACCCGCCGCCGAGCTCGCCTCTGTGCCCGCTCGGCGCTGCTGCTGCTGCGCGGCCGCGGCGGTGTTGGTAGTGGTGTTGCTGCTGCTGCTGCAGCCGCTCAGCTCCCCATTTGCCCGCTATTCGCAGCCGCCTCCACTTCCTCCTCCTCCCGCGGGCCGTCCCCTCCGCCGCTCCCACCCCCCGCGCGGGGCGGGCGCCGGGGCCGCTCCCCCCACGCAGCACCGGGGCCGCGCCCGCCACGCGGGCACCGCGCCGCCGCCGCCAGGGGGCGCCCGCGCCGCACCCTTAAAGGGACAGCGCCCCTCGCTGGGTCCGGCCCGGCCCGCGGGGGCGCCCTGTGGGTTTGGTTCCTAAAGAAGAACAGTTTATGTGGACACTTAACGTTTCTTACTGGAGCTGCTGAAAACGGCTGTTCAGTACATCTTTCACATAAAAAAGGTTCCAAGCAAACATGAGTTTTCACCGCAAAACCAAGTATCTTCCTTCTTCCAGCATTTGGCAAGTGCCTGTAGGGATTAAATTGAAGTTTCAGTAACAGCTATTTCTTATTTAACCTGCTTTTGCAAGAGGCGAAAAAGGAGGCAGGTAATGCAAGCATGAGCTGGCAGACTGATTTTTGAGTTGGGCTTTCCTAAACACAGAGGCAGCTGTTCTGTGTTTCATTTGAGAGGAAGAATCTTTCAGTCTGAATTGCTGGGGTTATCTCACAGCACAAGTATAATTTCCCCATCTTTGTTTCTCCCCACCAGCTGAAATAAGCATCACTTCAGCCTGAACTTTTTAATCTGTCTCTCTGGGAATGCCAAGGATGGCCTTTACAGTAACTATGTCCCTCACAGCAGGGCCGGCAGTACCTGCAAGCCTGACCTGAGGTGCAGATGATGCTTCTATGATGACGCTTTCTGTGAACCGGGCTCAGAGCCCTGTTCAGTGGGAGCTGCTTGGCGAGTTCTGCTGACTCACAGTGCCACAACAAATGCGGTGTAGTAACTTCAGCAGTGTGTCGGAAAAGTGGTAGAAACATCCATGCAAAGAAAAGAAAGATGAAAGCCTTAAGAAATATGAAAATGGCCATTGACTTAGGCTGTTCTACATTCATGCTGTTATTCATATGAACAGCAAAGTCATCCTGACCCAAGGGTGTATTGGAAAGCAGGCAGAGAATGGAGTCACCTACAAATAGCTCATACCAATGGTTTTTGAAAATGCATATCATACCACTTTATTTGTGGTGGCTTTGAGAAATATATCTATTTTTCTCTATCATCTTATTTGCCACTCTGTTCTTTATTTTACAGAACACTTTTTATCTTAATCATATTCACACATTTTGCACAGTTCATTAATCAATGTAATTAGAATTAGTAACTGTATTTTGATAGCATGATTCCTGCTGCAGAATATTTCACTGGTATTCAAACATTTTATGGAAGTGTGGCAATTTGGGGAAAACCTGTGATTTAAAAAGGTCCAAATACTAACTTTATCAAACATTATCAAAATTATGTCAGAAACAAATTGACCTGGATTTCCTGTTATGAAGTGTTTTATTTTGCCAATATTAGTGTTTTATTTCAGCTATCATTTCACTAGACTTATTTTAAACTTTATTAAAATTTGCATCAGTATATTAAGCTCAAAATCTATATTTGTATCAGAATGGAATATGAATGCATTGAAACATGAGATTATTGAAGCCAACTTCCTAAATTACTTCTTTCTGAATGATTTTTTTCTCTTTGAGAAATGCCACAGCTTCAGGTGAATCTAAATCACAGTCTGCAGAGATAGAAATATTTATGAACTTCTTCCCAGATATGGAAGAGCAGGTTTTCAGAGGTGTTGAGTGCTAACTAACACTAGCTCCTATGGAAATGAAAAACAAGTACTAAAAAGGAGGAATTTGCTTTGCTCCAATATAGACAGACTTGAATGACATGTATCAGAGACCAGATTCACTCTTGGGAATGAGAAGGCTGGTAAATGCCTTCATTTTAAACTGCATTTTTTGAATCTTAACCCTTGAACAACTGCAGACGTGGGAAACATTTCATCTGGTGTGCCACTGTACTGCATGTTGCTAAATGAATTACAATCTTCTGTTTACATTGCAGAGCTAGTTCAGGCAATGCCAAACCTGGGACCACACTAAGCCCTAGGGTAATGTTTACGCAATTCCTGATTGGGAGCCAGTTGACTATTCCTGTGACTTTCTGTGGCTCAGTGCTGTAAGCTGCAACTCATGAGCTGCTTCATGCTAATTAAAGGGGTGAGGGTTGATTAAGATCTTGAGCCCTCCAGCAACCAGAACTATCTTCCTCTTCATCTTAGCTTCAGCTACAGGTCAAAGCAGGTTTCCCTTGTTTAGCTGGAACCTTTCACACCTTGTCTTCTAACCCTTTCAACAAATACAGAGGCCCAGACAAGGTTGGACACTTGCAATGTGGCAAAAGTTAGTGAAACTTCACAGAAGTTCATTTTAGAATAAGATAGTTATTTAACTATATTTTCTCAATGAGTGATTTTTTCCAGCACCTGGCAGAAGTCATGAGTGGAAAGAAGGCAACAAAGTGATTTTCACTGCCTGCAGTTCAAGCCTTTTACATTTTGTTCTTATTTTTTATTATTACAGGATAGACGTTACTCTGCTGTGAATGGTCAGGAGGTAGGGCTGAGCCTTCTGTATCAGGACGGATCTCCCTTCTCCAGTCAGTCAAACCGCCAGGTCAGATCATGAGCTAACATGGCACTGCTGGAACGAGGCTGAAGCACAAGAGGATGGAGTACAAGAAAAACCCTGCACATGCAGCTTCTTGGCTTTGAGAGAGAAATTCAAAGAAGGGTCCTGGTACTGCACAGCATCCAGAACTTGTCATCACCAGTGAGGCAGCTAGAAAGAAGTGCATGAGAAGCATGGTGGGCTGCCATTTCCTCATGTCTCTGCTGTATCTACAACCCATTCATCACTGCAAGATTCATGAAAAAGGCCAGGTAGGACTTCTCTTCCAAGTGGCTCACTAGAGGACAAGTGAGTCAAGCTGAGCTTATACACTTTTTGGTTGGTTTTCACCGAACTTCTGGCAAAACACATTGTAACCTCAGCTATTGTCTGGAAACTTTTCTGAATGTACTCTGACCCAGCAGCTTTTAAGTGATAAATCAGTGAAGGTTAGTACTGGGGATGAAAGCTCATTTCTGATGTCTGAGTTCAAACGTACCATGGCTAACCCTGGCCAAGGGCTGCTGCAGGGATCGGTCATGGAGGCTCCCAGGAGGGAGCTCCTCTAGCTCCTGATGCCGCCCAACCACACTGGTCTGAAAGACCTCTTGTCCATGGAGACGGCACAGGACAGGCCTGTCCTTTCCAACTGGGAATCAGACTGTCACTGTACAGTCAGCTCAGTCAGGTGTTGCTGTTTAGAGATGCCATCCCTCCCAAAACTGCCACTTGTTTTCACCTTCTGCCACTTCAGCCCAGCTCATGTGGCCATTCATGAACAGGATCAGGGAGCCAGGAAGTGTGCTGGACTAAAACAAACTCAGAAAGCTGACTACAGTACTTTAGTCTTAACCCAAACCAAGTCCTTAGTCTGGATCACCATCCTTCTTCCTACCCATTTAGAGTGGCACAAGGCAGTGAAGAGGTTGGAAGATGGAGGCCAGGTATAGAAAGCACTGAGCTGCCTTTTTTGGCAGCAGTCCCACTTCACAGCAGCAGCAGGGATGGGGAAGGCACAGTTCATCCACGTGACTACTCCCTCACTCACCTGACAACCTATACAATTTATGCTGCAGTATTTTGATTTTATAAAGAAAAGAAGGATTAGTGGGGACTGGCTGAGATTCACCGGTACTTCTGAGATCTTGTAGAGAACAGAAGAAAGAATTCAGCCAGAAGAGCTCAAAAACCTTCCAAAAGAAGGTAACAACAATGCCCAGTAGATGACCAGCCCTGTATGGGCCAATGCAGCACTGTTCAGGGATTCCTGAGCTCCCACCAGCCCCAGGGGAACGCTTCTTAGGTTGCTACCTGTTACACTGGGAGCATAGCAAGCTCTTCTGTTCCAGTCATGAAAACAGGATAAGTATGAGGGTTTTTGAAACTGCAAGGAAACCACCTTTATGGGAATGTATGTCTTACTTTCTGTACAGCTCAAAAATTTGGCTATCCTGAGCTCTGATGAATGTACATGCTGCAGGGAAGTAAGAGAGGGTCTGGCTGCCAAGTTTGCTTGCTTGTCATGTAGCACTTTCAGGGTAGAGTTTGAATGAGCTCATAAGCCAAGAAAAGCATTTCATCGGTCAACAAAGAATTTAAAGCCACAAAAAACCCACGTGGCCAAGATGCAAAAGATGGTGAAATCCTGTGCTGGTATTATTATGTCAGTAGAAGCAGATTTTTTTAACTGGATTACTTTTGCTACTCAAAACCCAAGTGTGGGCACAGACTGCACTGCTCTACGTTACTTTAGCTCTCTTGCCTTCTGCTATGGCAACAAGCTTCATGTAAATAATGCTCACACAAACGTTTTCATTACAGCCACATAGAGAGACTTACTTAGGTGGTTGCTTCAGTGTAGTTAAAATTATTCAAACTTTGTGTGCAAAGAAGTTCTGGAAGATTGCTCTCGGAAGAATCTGGGTGATCTCACAGTGCATTAGGTTTGGATTGAGACTTGGATAAGGATTAGGCTGCACTGAGATTTGCTCTATCTACATTTTCGTGCTAACAGAGTTACTCTGGTTATAGCTGTTTGGAGCTTTTTAACCAGGTAGTTTTAAGTGCCTATAATAATTCTGGGAGCATACTCCCAGCAAAATGAGCCATCTTTCCACAAAAACAAACAAACAAACAAACAAACAAAACCACAAAAAAACCAAACAAAAAACCCGAAACAAACAAAAAAACCCCAACAAACAAAACAAAACAAACCCCCAAACTGCTTTAATTATTTTTTAAATGATGCAACTACTTTTAAAATTATGAATGTAAATAAGACCAACATGGACATATAAGTCTTATATATAAAGTCATATAAAGTGACCTGAACCTATATGAATCCTATGACTATTATCCCATATTTTGCTGGCTTACATCTGTCTTTGCCTCTTGTGTTAAGAGCACATTGTTCCAGATGATCTAAATAACATATCTTCATTCCAGTTGTCCTCCACTTCCATGAGTTGTTTGTAGCTACAGCTGAATCTTTTAAACTGCTAAAACTGTGAAAACAGGAAAGATAGAAGTCCGGTGTGGGACACACCATCACTTGCACTTTCTTCTCATGGTTATGTCTCCAGAGATTGAGGACCCTTTTCCTGTTTTGTTTAAATGCTTCCTTAAGAGTTCCCTAACAGTTCACAGGCCATTGTGCTTGCTGATTCTGTATGGTCCTGTTAGGAGACACTGTCTTTTTTGCTGTCTGGGAAGGGCAGCAATTTCCATCTTTTGAAAACCTACCACAATGTATAGACTTATACAGATAAGTGCAAAAAGAATAGGTGCAGAAAAGCATTTCCAAAGCTCATGGCAGCACTATTCCAAAGCCAACTAACTGTAGCATATTAAAAATAAAATTAAAAAAAAAAAAAAACAACACAACCAAACCAACAACAAAACAAAACAAAAAGAAACACACAAAACCCAAAAAAATACAAATCCATCTGAGAGTATCTCCAGCATACAAGCATGTTGTAGAAGGACACACCCCATTTTTGCCTGTGATGCATTCACAGAGCAAACTGAAGCTTCATCAACAAGGTGTAGAAAAGGTTTTTGAAACAACTCCAATCCTAACCAAAACAAGCTTGCCCTGGACAGTCAACAGATCTTTTGGACATGCCATAGCTATCCTGAAGTAAACTAAAGATGCTACGGGGTGATAATCTAGACACACAGCTGGGAAAGCCCTGCTATGAGTTTGGTGCTGTTCCTTTTGTGTTTGCAAACTTTTCATACTTAGGCATCAGTGGTGCACTGACTTGACTTACGCAGAGAAGAACTGGAAATTCAGGAAACAAGTAGAGATAATCAGCTGTAGCATAAAAGGGAAAAGGAGGAAAAAACCCCAAGCAAAACACCATCAACAAAAAGCCCTGGAAAAATCAACTGAGCCTACAGTTTGGTTATAGCTCTGAGCATTTACTAGATTCTCAGGGTTGTAAAGGGAGATAGCTCATTTAGAATCACAAACTTTCAGATGTTTCAAATTGCCTAGATCCTGTAAGATACTTGCATGGATGATAAATTCCATTAATACCTGTAGTATCACTTTGCTATTAAACTTATTATCTCACATATTCAGTGCCTGTCAGTCTGTAAATAAAGCCTAGGCAAGGAGAATCTCTGAATGCAGGACATGTTATAATACCATAGTGTCATTACGGAGCTGTCTGGACAGGAAATGCTTCCCAATCATTTTTCTGACAGCTCAAAGGGATGCTTCCACAGAGAGGATCACTGCAAATATCCCTAGTGGTTCTGTTTGTCTCTGAACAGGCCACTTCTGGGCCTCATACCTCATGTACAAGAGCTGCCTTTAGAGCTGAGCCTACAATGCCAGTGCTGTCCTTTGAAATTTTCCCTTCCCTCAGAGCTTCTGGAGGGGAGAAGGACTGTTAGTGACTAAACCAATGAAGCCTGCTTGCCTTGAGCCTGTTTTCTGGTACGACCTCTGAAGAAAGCTTTTCATGTGGTTGAAAAGTTTGTCATAATCTGTGCCTATCCCACTGTTTGATAACAGATGAGTCCATATTGCATTTCCCTTCTTTGGGTCACAATTTCTATTATTTGAGTGCCAACGTATAGAAGTTCAGTGTCTTAAAGAGGTCTATGCATCTATGTAATTTTTCTGAAACTGTGCAAAAAATCCAGGTACATGCACAGTCCCTCTTTTACTTATTTATTTATTTGGGAAAACAATCTCAACAAATCAGATGGAAGACAGGTTAGAAGAAGGCCCTTCCTGAACCCTCAGCACTTTGTGTAGTGGTTGTTACTGCTCCCTTTGCACCAAGCCTATGAAGTGCGATTCTTGTTCAACCTGGAGGCCTGGAAGGATGAATCAGAGAGGGAGAGGAACACCCTAAAATAGAGGAAAGAACTTGAGCCACCATTTGGACCTGCCAAGGAGCTGCCATAAAATTGTTCCAAGCAGTAGGCAAAGAAGAGGCCTTGTGGCAAAGGGCACCAGACATGGTGCTGAGGCAGACAAGCTCTCCCAGGAACACAGCTGCCTTGTGTTCACATTCAACATGCAAGCAAAGCCTTCCTTGTACTGTCTTTTGGTATTGTCAGATCAATAATAGGTTTGTATTGCCTGAAAACTGCACTCTTGAAAAGAAATTCAGTTAGACACAAGTCTCCCTAATAGTATAATAGTCCTAATAATATAAATTCATAAATATATATGCCTTGTATGTCATGGGGTTTATTTAAATTCTCATTGTTCACTGTTCCTGCCCCACAGTCCTGGTCTGCAACCCTGGATTACTGATGAACAGGACATTTTAATAGAGGTAGGCATGTTGTCTTTCAAAAAAAAGTCAAAATAACTTCAAAGTCTTCTCTGGCTCTGTTCTCCAGCCTTCACTAAAATGCTCTTCCTTATTTCACATACAAAGTTTAAAACCACACCAACACTTCTACTACATAGAAATCTTCTTCAGAAATCTCCACCTTTGTAATCATACCTCCACCATTTTTTAAATCTCAGACACAAACACATATACTGAAGTTATTTTGCAGCTACTTGGACTATAGAGCTCTCTCTAGAAAATGGTTTCATAAGCCAGAGAAGTAGAAGTTAGCCCAGATATCTTGAGGGTGAAGTTGACAGTGGTTTCAGGTGAGATTTTGGCTATTCTGCAATAATGCAAGAAGCACAATTTGTGGGACGTCTTCTGAAGATGATGAGGCCTGAATTGAGGTGGGGGAGAATGAGACATAAAAGGCATGTGGGTCTTGTCAAAGGATCTCACCTACTCAAATTCGAGAGAAGTCAAACCTGAACTCTTCTTTGTTAATCATCTCCACTTGATATCCATGACAATGGCTTCAAAAGACTGGTTTACCATCACTGCACACAGCTGGGAAAAGTAGAGCTTCCAGATGTCACACACTTTTCTAAAGCAACAAAAATCTTGTATTGCTGGCCAACACTGGTGCTTTTTTGGGGAGTCACATTCGTGCAGATCCCCAGAGAAGGGCTATCTACAACTTATGTTCTGCCGTTCTTTCACATGCTCCAGCTTAGCGCGGCTGTTCTCACCCACCAGCCCAGTGCTGGCTGCTCAAGTCTCTAAGGATTTTCACTGTGTGAAGCCACTCTAGAAAAGTATCAGGCTGCCTGATTTTACTTTCATTCTCCACTTCCACAATGGTTATCCACTGCTTCAGCAGAAATTGTAACCTCTGCTTCAACTCCCAAATCAGGAAGGTTTTAGTTTGTATCACCACGCATTGCAAAATCATCCTTAAGGCATTGGATTTGCTGGTGAAACACTTCAGCTGGTAACAGTTACCCAGAACACTACAAACTCCTTGCAAACAAGCTCTGCGCTATGCAGAGCCATCATTTTGAAAATAATTCCTATTGCACAAAGCGGCGTAGAAACACACCTTCAGTGACACATTAACTTTAGGCTAGATACTTTTTCATGTGGAGAGGGTGTTGGCTTGGAGGCACTTAAACTTGTTAGAGTCTCATAGCAGCATATTTTTTTACCTTCCAAGTACTTTCATACTGTCATGACATTTACATTCTGTTGGTGAAAGGTAAACTGACATTTTTCCATTTCTGTAGAAAAGTGGACGTATCCCCTCTGTAAGAATACCAACAAATGTGGTAATAAGTGTGCTAAGATACAGACATTTAAATATTCATCTGGAATTTCATAATAGAGCAAGCAAAATGTAGGCATTACTGCCTGAAATTTCATTTCATATAGGCATGATAAGAGCAGCAGCTTACAAACTGCACAGTAAGGAACAAACGTGTAATGATTTTTGTTTTAAGGATTTCCAAATGCTGCTTAATGTGCTTTTGTCAAATGAAATGCAAATACTCACTTACTAATAAATTATTGACATTCTCCCTTTGAGAGTAACCATCAACTGCTGTTAACATCTCCGTTCAACTGCTTGAGTTGTTCTGGGGCTCTGTGCTGATTTCTGGTACAGTCCTCCAGCAGGGGCTTCAGAAAAAGGCAAATTCAGGTACAGGGCTAGGTGAGTACTTAAAAGCTGTACAACTACAGTGAGCTGACTTTTACCTTTCACTAGACAACAGAACAATAATAGGAGCCCTCCATACAGAAAAGGATGAAGATTTACTTCCAGCTGGAGAAATCTGTATGAAAGCCTTCCCCTTCATGTTGAGCTGACAGCTCTCCCTGGGCACTTGCATGAGTAAGGAGGTACTCTCCGAATCTGATGCTTGGATTAACCATCAGGTACTTCTGTCATTCCGCTTTCCTCTGACACTAATTTCCCATTGCCTCAGACAAGTCTGTTCTTCATCCAGGCCTTGATTTTCCTTCTTTAGGGACCAGGAAGGAATATTGAAAATACAAAAAAAAAGGGAGAACTGTAAGGGATATCTGCAGGTAGCTCAACAGGGAACTGAACCATAGAGCTTATTACCAGAACGCCAAAAGCTATCCGTTTTGGTTAAATAAATATCATCAGTAAATGGGACTGACTGTGTAACATTTTGAGGTACCAGTCACTCCCAAGTGCCCAACACAATCCTTTCCATTATTTATATGCATAACCTAAACTGTGGGTTTCAAAGATAAGCAAAGAATATGCAGAACAGTTCTGAAAACAAAACCACGTAAGATTACAGCTGAGGGACAAATCAATGGTTTGTGTACAAAATCTTCAAATAATAAAATATTATGAAGTAACTAAACACTAGGCGATTTAAGTGCTCTAGAGGATAAAAAATAAAGCTTTTAAGAACAGAATGAATTTAAGTGATATAAAAAAGAAGATGTTGCTACTGGTGTAGGAAAGGGGGAGTTCTGGTTTTTCTTCTATGACTAACAACCTATCAACCCTCACGTGGCATAGATGGATGTCTTACACATATCCCTCTTGCAGTACATTTTGGAAGCTGGTAATTATGGGCTAATTCCTAAGCTCTAACAGGACACAGGGAAGAGGTTCCTAAAAAAGACACACACACACACATCCAAACACTTTCTTTTTTTTTTTTTTTTAATGAAACCTTAGATTCTACATATCTTAAATAATATCCCGCCTACCTCCTCAAACCTCCCCCTTGGTCTATGCAAAAAAGAAGTTGGGATCCTCTGAATTTGGGAAAAGGCCTAATGTGAACTGTGTTATTACAGTGTTTCTTTAGTAAAAGAAAGTTATGCTTCAGGAAAGTCTGAATACAGATATTCCCTGCTGCACACCCTTCACAGCCTAAAGCAAGATAGGTACAGCCTGGAAACTCAGAATCTCAGAAGGGACAATAACTAAATCCCTTTAAAACCATTCTATGGTATTACTGACTTGCTTCACATAAGCACCACAGAAAGAGAGTTAATTACTGGAAATTTAAAAAACAAAACAAAACAAAAAAAACAAAACAAAAACCCCAAACAAACAAACAAAATCAAAACGAAAACACACAAAAAAATAAGGAGTGTCATTGCAACCTCTTGTGAGGAAGGAGTTGTTACTTCAGGTGGTCAGATGATTGTCTTGGAATATCTATATGGACAGAAGGGGGAACAGTGCATATCTCCAGAGAGTGACCCCTGGAGAGGATTTCCCTTTTTCTACTATTTTTTAGGCCATCTGACCAAAACCAGCATTCTTGGCCTGCAGACCCCTTGTTGTGAATCTGTTTTTCTTTTTAGCATGAATGACTTTTCAGTGAACTTGTTTACACAACCAAACATGTTGGCAGCAGCAAACTCAACATGGAAATTCAGTAACTGTTCCTTTCTGGCAGTATGAGCAGACTTCAGTTGAAATCATGGAAAAGTAGAATTTTCAGGAGTTCAATGGCAGCTTTGAAAGTGGATTTTTTTACATACTATCTGTGGAGATTTAGTTAACATGAAGTTGTAATGAATAATGGTTTTGCTGAAATGCAATTCATAACCATAAACTGCTTTGACCAAAATTCTGCAAGACAGATCTCTTTCCTTCGAGGTCAGTACAATGCTGGGTCATACAGCTGGAGCTATGAGATCAGTATCTGCATTGCTTCTGCAAAAATTGTATTTGTCCTCTGTTTAAATAAATGCCACAGTGAGAAACAGTCACCAGCCATCTCTGCCCATATCCTTTCAGTGTTTTGTCAGTTCTTGCTCAACTTTGAAGACCCTTTGTATTTGGCTGAAAACAGAGGGTAAAAGCAAAGATTTTATCTCTTTCCCGCTGAATCTGTTTTAACACAGACAATGTAGACATGAGGATTATATTCACTGGTAACTAATGAACAAGGAGCATCAGTGTAATGAAGACTAAGAGTTCAGTCTAAAATGCCAAGGCCCTTCTTCATAAAAGACTCATTTCTTCTTCATAAAAGACTCATTTCATTTTGACAAAGGGTAGTAGTGTGTAAGTCTTCCTTTGGCAGATGTTTACTGTTGATGTTTGGGAGAATGAGATAGATATTCCATCTGTAAATATAAAAGCATTTGTTGGAAAGATGGTAAATATTTCTAGACCCAAGAACAAAGTATGGCTGGTATTCAGAGAACCTGGCTAACATGATTGCCTGAAGCTTAACTCAGATGTGGTTGCTGCTAACAAACAAAGCATAGAAGAATTTCAGGAACTGAGAATTAAAGATTAAGGTAATTTAAGTTCCCAGCATTTCAAAGTATACAAGGCAAGCCAAAGGAGGGAAAGATCACCCTGGATTATACACAGGTTGATGAATATCTCTGCTTCTTGTGGTCAGTGTAGCCAAAACAAGCAAATATACTATTTCAATTCAAAAGGAGAAGAAATAAAATATAAAAATGCCAGCATATAGAAAAATGTCTTACATGCTCCCAAATAAATGTGCTACACTCTCTGAGAAAACAAATGTTTCCAACAAAGAAGTTCAAAGAAAGACAACAGTACAAGAAAAATAACCACCTAAGAAAAAAGGGTATCAGAAGATTGTAGCCTTACTTTCAGAATAAACTAAAGTTCTAAAACACAAAAAAAGGATTCATAAAACATGAAATAAAACACATGAATTGAGGGAAACTACTGTTTTTGACTCAAGTAAATGATAAGAAACTGATCAAAACAACTTATTACACCACAATAGGATACTATGAAATTCACTGCAACTAAATCTAATAAACAAAACAGCAACAAGCTGCAAAAACACTGGGCATTTATGCACTCAATGATAAAAATTCACGTGAGTACCATAAACATTGTTCTGAGGAAAAAAAAAAAAGGCATTTTCCCAATATGCCTCCTCAGTTTTTCAGATGCATTACTTCAGATTCACTGAAAAACCTTTCCCTTCTGTATTTCTTCATAAACACAGCACTAACTCTTCTTGTAACACAAAGGTGAGTTTGCCCAGCTGGAGATGAGGGCAGATGTCATGTGAGGCTTGGGCTTCCATGTGTGTTTTCTTTCTCTGATCAAAGCAGTGGTTCTTCAGTTTGCTCTTCTGTGCCCCACCTTCCAGGTATAAGGAAGAGATGGGAGCTTATCTTCCTTTCTTTCAGTTGCCCTCCTTCTCCATAACCAGCAAGTGAGCATTTTCAAGGAGCTCTGTGTTTCATCCCTCACTCCTCAGCTTAGTCCTACCCTAAAACTAGTCTAACCTTCTTGGCTTAAGGTTGGGTATGATCTTCATAGGACCAACACATGTGCTCATGCCCCATTCTCCTCATTTATGCCAGCTTTCTCCTTGGAATCCCAGCGCATATGGAGCCTGTAGGGATCCCAGTGCTCTAGCCAAGTGTTTGGTTTAGGCCTGGGATTAGGAAGGAAAAGATCTGGGACTATAGTGTTCCCGTTGAATCAAAAATCAGTGTCGTACAAAGGGGAAGGAAAGTACTGTCTTGACAAAAATGTCTCTGTAATAGATTCTCCCTTCTCGGTCACTTGTCAATGAGAACCTAGTACAGCTATGTTAAATATAAACATAAAGATGCACCCAAAAGAATGCAAGATGCATTCTGTCCTTCAGCTTCTGCCTTCCATTTGGAAGCTCAGCTAATTTCGGTTTGGTACTTATCTCAGGTCTTTTACTTTTGCTTTCCTATTTTGGCTATAATCTAAGTCTAGGGAAAACCTTTTATTAATACTGTTTTATGAAAACTGTGAGTCAAAGATTACAACTAAGCCTTCTGATTCCTATTGTCAGCCTTCATTTCTCCTATGTACTTTGTCAGGATCATGAGCGCAGGAACAACAATCCTCACCTGCCCAACTTCCAAGGGCTCAGAAGCCCCACTTAAACTGAGCCCCAGGGCTTCAGACAATGCCTGACTTATGTATTAGGAGTATGGGTCTCCAGCTCAGCCATGACTGTGCCAAGCCATGTTCATCTGCACCTGGAGTTACAGACTGACTTCCTAGCTTGATCTCAGTCTTTTCTTACCAGTATAGACCTGCATGGCAAACACTAGGTTATGTCTGACCTGAATTCTTGTCATTGCACCTGACCCTAACCTGTGGACTGCCTTCCCAGCTTGACCTTGGACCTGCTTTGTTGCTTGCCTGTACTTCTGGCTGAATGTGGTGTGCCCTGCTTGCTTTGCTCAGGGACTGTGGGCAGTGAGACTCTGCCCTATCAGCTGGGTTATCATGCTTGGTTCCTACCCTTGATGGAGCGGCCAGCCCACTGCTATGAAACACTTTTCTTCTTTTTTAATGCTACAAAATCTCATGATTTATTCTCTGATTCTATTAATTAAATAGAATTTAATAGAATTTCTTTGGATTCAATAGACTTCTATTTTCTCCTCTGTTTTGCAAGCTGAATTAAGTCTCACCAGCTATATGTTCTCATTTCAATATGCAGGGTATTAGTTCTTTCCCCTTATTATCAGCTCTCATGAATTCTTTTCCCTTATTAGTAACAGTCCTCGTGACTGGAATTTAGCTTGAAACTCTTCTAAAGCTGAGAATAGTTGCTTTCCTCCTCCCTCAAAGAGTTGCTGCTAAAACTAACTAACCAATCAAGCCCTCAGCTGAGTTATATGCTGTGTCCCTTCCTGTACTATGTCAGAGATTAAGCACAGCACTGAATTTATGCAGATTGAGATCTAGCCAAAAAATATTAAAAATCACTTTGTCTAGTGTTATGCCTTAGCTTTCAAAGGCCTTGTGTTTGTTATAATAACTCCTCCATTTTTTTAGATCCTTCCCTTCATAACCATAATCTCAGGCCTATGCTTAACACAGAAGAGAAGACCCATGGTTGGGCCTTTTAACCTGCTTGGTTAAATCCTAACCCCTCCTTCTTTTCCAACTCCAACAGTTCAGAGAAAAGACAGACTTCCTAAATAGAATTAAGTCCAACATTCCAATCCCTTTTCCTCAGAATTCTAAGTGCAAATGCAGGCTTTACACTTAGCGCACGTATCCACTGCCAAGCCATATATTCACACAGTCGCATATTAATTTATACTGGAACTCTTCTCTTTGACATCTAGGTTGGTATTTTAAAGAAAACAGGCTCTCTGTGTTAACTATTTCATTTCCCATCATTACCACTAACCTCAAGATAAGAAAATGCAATATAGGCATGGTTGTGTCTGTCAGCTCCACAAGAGCTTTATTCCCTTCTAGATCAACCGAGACCTCAGCTGGGACCTCACCACCTGTAAGAACAGAAAGAATGGCACTTAGTTAAGAGAAGTGTCCCAGAGATAATTAGCTGGATGTAGCTATTCATATCGACATCTTTCATCAGAACTACACTAACGGGTTATTGAACCTTCATTTAAGGTAATGAAATCCTCGTTCAACTGAATTCAAGTGCAAAACCTCGCGGTGTTGCTCAGGTTGGCTCTGCCTGTGGTGCCGGGCGCCATCTTGTGTCCCTTTCGGGCCTTTAGTTCAATAGGCATTAAAGCAACAATCTTTTTAAAAAAGCAGCATGGCCTAAGGTGTAATTGCTCTATACCAGGGAATATATATGATATGCTGACTGTTGTGGGCTCTCAGCAGTGTCTCTTTTCACTGACGATATCTGCAGCTCCGTGCACTTAGTCATCAGCTGTCCTGAATATAACCCAAAACACCAGCTTTTAACACCAGCTTTTAACACTTCTCATTTAAACACCAAAAATAGCAGGATAAGCCATCATAAATTTGATTTTGCACCAGCTTTTATATACTGCCTCACATGCACCTACTACATCCCCCAAGAAAAATGGCAGAAGATCCTATGTGTATACATTTATTTACACCCAAAAAAAGAAATGTAATTGCTGTAGCATTTTTCTTTTTTTTTTTTTTTTTTTTTTTTTTTTTTTTTTTTTTTTTTTTTTTTTTTTTTTTTTTTTTTTTTTTTTTTTTTTTTTTTTTTTTTTTTTTTTTTTTTTTTTTTTTTTTTTTTTTTTTTTGGACAGCCCTTTTAAAATTCTCATTTAGTCTTCTTTTTTAACTACAGCTGGATGCACGTGAATTTTGGCCACTGCTGCTTTCTCTATGAGAAACAGTGGTTATCTCATGACTTCGGAAAAAATGCTTTAGTAGTAAGTTTTCATTTCACAAATAACACTATGCAGTTACTGAATTAACTAATATAGAGCACGTCACACCACACAGTTTCTGAATTCAGGCAAACACATTCTGCACACACAATTTTTCCCACCGTCATTGTGATGCTGTCACTGAATGGCACACATCTGACTGAATAACTTTTTTTGGTCAATTTAAATGAACTTTTGGCTTCATTAAAGGATTTTATCCAGTAGATCATGGGATAATGGAATGTTAAGGGGTTGGAATGAACCTTAAAGACTATCTAGTCCCAACAACACCCCCCCCAATGGGATAATAAGAATATAATATTTCCTAATAATTTAATTCAATAGAAATAAGCCAGTCAGTCCTGTTTATGTATTAGCATCTACTGTTTTTTAAATACACGCATATCACTTGTTGGGGGCTGTTACTCAACACAGTAGCCTCTACTAGTATTTCCCTCGGCTCAGCCCCTGTCCAAGACAGCAGTTTGGGTCTCTCCCTCCGCGGGGGACCCGACTGACCCTCGCCGGACCCGACTGACCCTCAGCGGCTGCGCCGCCATTTTGGGCGAGACCACCCCCGCCACCGAGCGGCGCGCGCCCGAGCCAAGATGGCGGCCGGCCAAGGCGCCCGCCCCGGATGCGGCCGCGCGCCCCGGCAGCCCTCGGCGCGGGCCGGAAGCGGCGGCGGTGCCGGTGGGGGCGATGGCGGCGGGCGGGCAGCGGGGCGGGACAGCGGCACCCGCCGCCTCCCGGCGCCGCGGCGCGGGCTGAGGGCAACGGACCGCCCGCCGCCGCCCTCCCGCTCCCTCCTTCTCCGCTGGAGCAAGGTAAGGCGCTGCCGGCGCCGGGGAAGGAGCGGTTGGCGGCTGGGCGCGTCTCGCCTGGAGCAGCGCGGGTCCGGCGGGCGGTGGAGGGAGGAGACCCCAGTGGGGATGAACGTGTCCGGTAACCATGATGGGTGTCCCCAAAAGCTGCGACTTACAGTGGAGTCTGGAAACGGAGAGTAAGAATGAGAAAACTCCCGAGTGTTACCTCCTTTGGTGTAACCTGGAGCTAAGGTTGCTCTCCTGACCACTGCTCAAGGACAGGATCAAAACCCGCCGCTGTTTACCTTCTTAAATCTGCTGCTGTTTTAAGTAGTGCTTGTGCTTTCTGTATGTAATTGCCTTCCGAAGATTTATTTTCTTCGAAGGCGACAACTCTCGAGCCAGCTCGGCAATGCCGAACTGCTGGAAGAAACATCCAGCGGCTTATTTGGTGGGTAAACGTGGACTCAGGGGTTCGAGTGTTACCCAGGAGATTAACAACTCCGTCCACAAATTTTTCAGGTGTCCTACTAAAACTATTGACTCGGTGTATCAAAGGAAAATTATGGAGTTAAGTTATATAGAAGGATCAGCTAAGCAAGAAGTAGCGATCATAGACATAAGTAATGGCATTCTCAGGTATTTACTGTTCTTTCCCAGGTGTTTAATATCCTTGTATGCTTGATTGTTTCAGCCACCTTGAATGCAGCAGTGTGAGGGCCAAAACAATTTCTCCAGGGCTACCCTGACCAGATTCTTGTCAGGTCAGGATTAAGGATACCCTTCACTTAGGTAAAACCAGGAAGTCTTTCAAGATTGCTAGCCAAATAGTCGGGCTCAGAAAGGGTGATTTAGAAAGGGGTAGTGTTTTTTTTCCATTACTTATGGTAAAAATCTCATACTTCCATGAATCATCATTGTTCTATATGCATAATTCATTCTTAAATATGCATTTCTGCCTAGTATTTTAAGGCCTAATGCATTCTCTTAAAACAGCATTACATAGATTTTACTCCTCATTATAAAAGGTAGGAAAAGCAAAAGCCCAACAGTCAGAAAAAGTCTGTTTGTTAGGGGAGCCCTAATCAGCTGCAGTGGTTCTCCCAGCCCTGAACAAGGACCGTTTTGAGGGAAAGGGGTGATGACTTTGTATGGAGGTACTTCAGCTGGAATGTTTGTGACTTGATTGAAGAGTGTGTAATCAAAAGCTGTAGAAAGTTAACTTACAAAAACCAAGGTTCATCTGTGTCCCCTCTTTCCCAAGCTGTACTAAACGTTTATATCACCTTTTGTTCCAGGTGCAGAGCATGGAGAATGATGAACTTCCGCCAGAGGATGGGATGGATCGGTGTGGGGCTGTACTTGTTAGCAAGTGCTGCGGCTTTTTATTATGTCTTTGAAATCAATGAGACTTACAACAAACTAGCACTGGAGCACATTCAGCAACATCCCAAGGAGCCACAGGAAGGAACCACATGGACGCACTCCTTAAAAGTACGACTGCTATCCTTGCCTTTCTGGCTGTGGACTATAATATTTTTAATACCGTATTTACAGATGTTCTTGTTTCTCTATTCCTGTACAAGAGCTGACCCCAAAACTGTTGGGTACTGCATCATTCCTATCTGCTTGGCTGTTATTTGCAATCGTCATCAAACATTTGTGAAGGCCTCTAATCAGATCAGTAGATTACAACTGATTGACACTTAGCTCAAGTTCTAGTTTCTCTTGCTGTTTCGAAGCAATTGCATATGCCTGATCTAATCACAAGACTGAAGTTCTGAGTGAAGGCCAGAAAGAGCCTTTTCTTGCAAACTGATAAGCAATGAAGAGAATGACTGTTTTCTATTTAAAAAAAAAAAGAAGTAACTACAAATGTTTTTTAATTATGGGTCTATCAAGCAGCCAGAGTGGGAGAGCCCTGTGTGACACGTGATGGAAGTATTCCTCATTTTGCCTTAACGATGCAAAATCGCAACACTCCATCTGAAATGTCTTATGGGGAAACAAGTTTCTGGTCCGCAACTTTACTCCTCTGTGCAAAGAAGTGATTTCCTATGTTTTCCCTTGGACTAAAATCAATGAAAAGATGCTTCTTTTGTGGTAAATGTAAAAGAAAAAAAAAAAAGAGAACGTGATTATAAAAGCTGCACTTAACACAATTCTTTGCTTTTTCTTTTTCCTAATTAAAATCTACATCAGTGCTGGTTTTAATGAATTTTTTTTTAAATAAGTTTAGATATAAAAACAGGAAGCAAAGAACAAAGTTTGTGCAAACCTTTAAAGGGAAAAAGTACTGTTTTTCCTGTGGTAGCCTACTTTTTTTCAGTGAACACAACAGTGTAGTAGGTAGGCAGTGAGGTGTGGCATAGGCCTGGAGCTTGGTGCTTTAAACTGTTTTCCTATGGCATCAAAACCAGCTTATGCTGGAATTGGCCTATAGTCTGCACAAAAATTCTTTTATATTTTCTTCGTTGGATAAAATTACTGACATTTATGACCGTTCTAACTTCACTCCGGACATGGTGCAAACTCGTGTTCTGGGAGCACTGATATGATTAGGAAAAACTTTGAATTTGGGAAAGTCAACTGGCATTAGGTTGGGGAGATGCTACAAACAGGTTGTAAGACAAGAAATCATGTTCTAGAAATTCAAAGAAGTAAGATGCCTTCTTCTCGTTCTTGTAATGAATGCAAATTTCTTCAGTGACACTGAAATTTTGTTGAGATTTCTTGTCATAGTTTCAACCTCTATTTTTCACTGCTGTTTTGGCATAGCATTTAAGTCTAACTGCTGTATTGTATATTTTCAGTAAGACTGAAATCTGTTCTTTTCTCCTGGCCCTTTTTACTTTTTCTTAGAATAGCTAAATCTTTGACCCAGCCACGATGGAAGTAACTTTACAAATATGAAAACAGTGCAAAATACACTCTTTAGAAGCAGTAGGCCCAAAAGAATTATGAGCTAAACTCCTAGATTATAATTTCAACTGTATGTGATTGTGCATACCCAATCATCACAAATGATAATCCATTTCTGATTGCATTAAGGGAATCCTGGGAATATCAGCTTTCTCTCACTTTGGAAAGAAAACACTATTTTCTGTGTTGCTGTGTTTTGGAGATATTTTGAGACACTGTTTTCAATTGTCAGCATGGGTGCTTGGACCTGAAAACAATGTAGCCTTTACAAGAAGGTTTTGAGTTCTAAGTGCAATATGAAAAGGAGGGAGCTGCCATCTCTGTATGCTGGAGTAAGAGTAAATTATAAACTCTGATGAGTAGTTATTATCTTTGGAATCAGAGCTTTTAAGTTGTGTTGTTTTCCCAACTTTTAAAATCACCATCCTATTTATCTATAAAATAAAAACTTCTCAAAGTTTATAAACAGAAGTCTATTAATGCAGATGCATGTCAAAGGCTTTTCTTTTTTGGTTTTGGATTTCTTTTTTTTGTTTGTTGCCAGACAGCAGTGCTGACTGCCAGCTGCTGTAGCTGTCCTTCCCTCGGGGTGTGTGGTTCATCTTTTTTTCTTGTCCTTTTATGCTCTGTGCCCTTGTTGGTAGCATGAAGTTTTGGGACTGGCTGGATGAAACCGAATCCCTTTGTTATTTGTTCACCTATGTGTAACAGAGAGATACCTCTGGCCGGACTGCTTTTAAGTTGGTGCTGTAGTTTTAATCTGAGCGGTTGTGTTGTGTCCAGATGGAATTATTTACAGAGCTATTTAAAGAATTATTTAAAGAGGAAGCATAAAAAATAGAAAAAGGTAGTAAGAGCTGCCTAAGTTTCTGCTGTGCGAGCATATGACCCTTAGCAAACTCATCAGCATGCCTGGTGGGATGAGCCAAGCTGTCTGGATGTGGAGCACGTGCTGAGCACAGTGGTGACTTACAGAAAGGTGGTTTGTGTTTGTAGACTTTTGCATCAGAAGCCTGGCTTTGGATTACAGCTGTTGACAGTCATGAGCTTTACAACTAACTACAGAAAGACACACAATCTAATCCAGGCACATGCGGTGTCTGTAAGGACTTGAGCTTGAAGGTGAAAGCAGCAGTGGAGAGAATTAGTTTAAAACTATCAACATAGTGTATAGGGATACTAGACAACAGGAGTAGGAGAAGAGCAAAGTTATCTCTCCTGATGCTTCCAGCATGGAACCAGGGGAACATAGAGAAGAAGTCTTACTGACAGAGTAAGTAAAGACTATAATAATAATTAATAATAAATTGGGGTTTATTGTAGTCTTCTAAAAAAGTAGTAGTGAAATAACTTTAAGCTTAATTATTATGAAGATTTATAGGTAGCGTCAACACTAATTAGTTCTGAATCACAAAAGATAACTGCCTGTAACACAAATTGACATCATCTACAAGCTTTTGGGACAATCAATCTCAAATAAGTTTTACAACCTCTTTAAAGACTACAATACTTCTCAGTTCTTGATCGTAAGTGGCAGATAATGGCACAGATCTGTTTCTAGGGCAGTGGCATTAATGTATGAGATTAGCTTATGCTAGAACTTGCTTATACAAATCTATTTAGTTGTTTTCACTGACTAGGCAGCAAAGATGGATTGGTGCCACTTTCATTGAGGGGTGGGAAAGCTACTTTTACTCATACATTTTTGACTGAAAATGAGTTACCTCAAACGTGATCTTGAAGAGCTTCCTACATCAGAAGCTGGAATAACAGAAGCAGTAACAAAGTCCTCAGAAGATTGCTAAACTCTACCAGCTTAGTAATCATTCAGAGCTTTAACTTTCTGCCAACAAAGTGAGTAACTGTAACCCAAGGGTGATTAATATTCATCTGTGTGCCACCTACCCTGGATTTCTTTTTATTGCATTTTGTCTCAAGATAAAGCATTGTCAGACTGCTTGAACATCACTTGGGCAGCCTCAGTTTCTTTAGCTGCTTGACCTTCACCTTGCCTTCCCATCTCAGGAAAGTGTCTGCCACGTGTTTGTTAATAAGTGCTACTGAGCCTGAAGTGCTACTTCACTTCCTGCCATGGGGGAGCAGTCTAAGGAAGAGCATAACATCAGGTTGCAGTCCTTCAAACTTGGGACAGAAGTAAGTTGCAATAAATATGTTCCTTATGATATGTCTTCCAGCAGCAAAGCAAAACTGCAAGCTTGGTTTTTAATTAAAAAATATAAGGATTGACTTACCCTTGAAACAAAATTTTTCAGTTTGTGCAGGATACCTATTAACTCCCCTTATTTTCTTTTGCCTGGTCTGTTGTTTTCTTAAATGGATGTTCTCTAGTTTATTATTTTATCAGTTTCTAAAATAATGCTGCTTTTCATGTGCCTGTGTTTGAGAACCCGTTTTCTAATGCATGAAAGCAGTTTAATAACTGTATCACGTAGTTAAATTTTAAGAACTGACTCATCTTAGCTCTCCTTAAGGCTAACCCCGTGGTGCAGGTTTCTTCTGCAAAGAAAGAACATGCTACAGCCATAAGAAGGTACTTCTGCTCAAGTCAGTCCTTAAAGTGAGTAGTACTCATGACTGGTACATTTGGCTAGTGGCTGTGTCCAAAACCACTGTTCAGTTGTTTGCACCCTTGCGTGTTAACCACATGTTAAGCCCCACGATGTCCTAACTGCCAGATTACTCTGTATTTTACAGAGAACCTGATATTTGGAATAGGCTGTGTGTAAATGAACTTTTGAGTGAGTGGAAATTACACAGGGGCTGCAGTGGGTGAATTGCATTCAAACCCTTTAATGAAAATGATGACAGTGGATATTTCTCCTGAGAACTAGAAAAGGTCTTGCACTTTTTAGACAATGCCCCAATTATTGGGCATATGGGATTGAGCCCTTTCTCTCACAGAACTATCTGTGTGCCTCATAAATACACTTATGATTTTAAACTTTTTAAACACAGGACACTGCAACTTGTTAAATTCCTTTGTGAATTTAGCCTCCAAGTTGTTTGAACCAGCAAATTCAGTATTTCAAAGAAGTAACAACAGTATGTCATATAATCCCAGTCTTTGTGAAGGAGATGTACTTTGACATTTTTTGCTGTTCTGTTTTGTAACTAGTAAAAGTAGTTGGTTCTTGTCTAAACACTAAGAAGAGTTTAGTATCACTTCAGCTCTTAATTCAATAGAACATACCACCATTCTCCCCCTTTATTTTAGTAAGGCCCCCTCAGGCTAGTAAACCCAAGTTCTATTAGCAAGACATACAAACTGCATTAAACAGTGCAGGTGTGGTGAACTGAGCTTGTTCTATGTCAGCCTGAAATTTGGTTAGGTACAAAAGCACTGCATCTCTCTTGAGATGAAGGATTTGCCATCTCTCTTCCATCAAAGCTTACCTCCTCTACCTACAATGCATGGGCCACAAGTGATTTAGGGGCTTCCCAGAAGGGGTTCAGAACTCAACTGTAAGGGTAGGTCCTAAAAGAGATTGGGAGGGTGGGAAAACACATCATGCTAAAGTTTCCTGTGCCAGGTAATGTTGCAACAACTCCCAGAAAAATTAAGTTCTCTGAGAAGGGCACTTCAGTTGCAAGCAAATGTACAGTTTAGAATTGTTTAAGGTCCCATGAAGTCCCAGTGCCCTTTTCATCACATGACAGTTTCTGTGGCTACGACAAGGACTAGAAAAGATTATTTAAAGGCAGAAACTTGAATGGTTGTTTTTGACCCAATGCTCATCAGTATCTTCCGGAGCTCAGTTACAGCATATTCCTGTGTCCAGGCTGACAGAAAAAAGACGTATCTCATTACTGGAGTGTTACCTGCATTTACTCCTGTGCTAGTAAAGTTAGGGTTTGTTGCTTTAGACCAGAGGTTTTCAGCCCCTGACATGCCAGTGGACTGCTTACATATACATAAGGGCCACAAATTCTTGCCTAAAATTAAATGTTGCTTTTCAGCCCTCCCACAGTTCACACCATTGCTGGGGTGTTTAGTCTGGAGTACATCTGGGACAAGGAAAGAAAAGGGAAAATGCTGCTCTCAGATGTAGCTGTACAACAGGCTTCCAAAGCTGCAGAACAGAGCTCATAAAAGATGAGGCTGTTTTTTTGTACTAAGCGTTGCCTTTGCCGTTTTGATAAGCCACTTCCTGCAATAAATTATCTACCCCACAACACTTTAAGCATTTTATCATTTTAAGATTTTGAAGCTTGACAAGAAATCAATTTGTATAATACTTGTGGCGTTAAAGCCACTCCTACAAATACTCTCTCGTCCTAGGTCCTCTGCAACTAAACTTCCCTACTCTTCTGAGTTGGTCTTTTCTCCTCAGTTATACCTCTGTCCTATCTGCCAATAAAATAATTTCTTAGAATAAGAGTACATAAAGATGCCAATAATACATTTACTGGATCTCCTCCCCCTATTTCAAATGAATGCAGACAATTTTGTCTTCATAAAAATTCATTTATTCCCATATTTTGTCCCCTGTATACAAGTCCCAAGATATTTTCACTCTTCATAATACGTAAAAAAATTATACCAGCAAAATATATGAAAATAAACCCCCAAAATGTTTTTCCCACTATTAAGTCAGGCAGTTAACTGCTGCTGGAGAAGACTCTCAGTCTCAATGGACTGGCTATCAGGAGTGTTTCATACCAGTTCACAGAAGCATGCACCAAGCAAAAACTAGGAACTGAAGTAGCATGTGGGAAGCACTGACAACTTGCCCCTTGCAAAAAGACATTCTGCTTGCTGCATTATCATTAAAAAAAGATCATGCAGCCCTAGCAGAGGGATTGGGTTATACTGATTCATACAGCCAAGAACTGTTACACATAATGTATTTACAGGTGTTGCTCAAGTGTTTATACTTTCCCCCCCTCTAAAATAAATTACAGCATCCAGTATAGAAGTCCACTACATTTCCCTTAGTTTATGTCCAATTTTGGTTTTAAAAAGCATTTCAGAAAAAGCACTCTGCTTTTTGTTTTTCTTGGTTTTAGGTAATGTTGGGAGTTCTGCATAAGGAGAATGTTAAGCTGTGATGTTCCTTTGACTTAGCTACCAAATGAGTTTAAAAATCAACCTGGGTAAAACTCAGTGATGGAAGTAAGTATATAAAGATTGGATACTGCATGAAAAAAAAAGGGGGGGAACCTATTTGGAGAAAACGGGCTTGGGACCAACAGTGGGTTTTGATTTCTGTAATATGAATTATCAAAGTCACACTACTGGTCACTTTCCTGGCTGATACAAAACCTGAGTTTTTGAAATCAAGATTCCCAAGTCTTTCAATCTTTGACCTCTTCCAGGAAAATACTTGATTGATGGGTCACTAAGCCTTTCAGACAGGCAAAAATAATCCTCCACTGTACAGGAATACACAGTCCTATACATGCTTTTTAATTTTGATAGTACAGTGGTCATATATTGTTTTCTCTCCATGCAAATTCTCTTGTTCTATTTTAAGGTCATATCTGACAAAATATCTTCCCAGACTTTATTGTTTTGTTTTAAAAGTTTAAGTCACATGAAGAAATAGTGTGACTTGGAAGAAGTCGATAAAAAAATGTAGCAACCAGACTCGTAAGAAAAGTTTTGTATTTGTCAACTAGTTTGCTAAAAACTATTGTCAGTGTAACACTGACACCCCATAAATAACATGCTGCTCACGCCCAGGCGCATCCTTTCCATAAGGCTTCCGTATCAAAAGAGTGTCGGGATGGGCATTTCGGTTTTAAAAGAGGGGCAGCAGCGCCGCAGGAGCCGTCCCGGGTAGCGGGCCCGGAGCACCGACAGTCTGTTCGGCAGAGCGGGGCTGTCTGAGCGCACACCCGGCCCCAGCGCCGCCCTCACGGCTGCTGCACCTTCGTCCGCTTCGCGGGCGGGTCATCGCCGCTCGCCGCCGTGTCCACGTTGTTTTCGTCCTCGCCTTCATCTTCTTCGCCCTCGTCCTCCTCCTCCTCGTCATCCCCGACAGCACCTGCCAGGGTTGTGGCGGGTGAGCGGCGGGCAGTGCCGCGAGTCCAGCGGAGCGCCCCGGCCGCGCCCGCGCCGCCACTCACCGCGCTGGGCGCCGCCCGCCGCCTCCCGCTCCTCCTGCACCAGCGGCGCCAGCAGCTCCACCACCCGCTCCTGCAGCTCGGACAGGGCCCCCCGCAGCCCGCGCAGCTGCGCGGCCTCGCCCCCCTCGGCCGCCGGGCAGGGCACCCGCACGGTCCGCGTCCGCCCGTCGCGGCCCCGCAGCTCGGCCACCAGCTCGGCGCCGCCCGCCCGCTCGGCCACCAGGTCGGTGCCGCCCGCCGGCCCCGCCATCGCCGCCCTCCGCCCACACGCCGGGCCTGGCCCGCCCCGCCCCGCCGGTCACGTGCCCGCCGCGCGCCCGGCCCCGCCGAACCGCCCCCCGTCACGTGGGACGCGCGCGATTCCGCTTCCGCCGTGGCGCCCCCTGGCGCCTCCCCGCGCGCGCGTTTCCCGCCGCGCTCCGCGCCCCGCGCAGCCCGGACATGGAGGCGGCGGCTCCCGAGGGCGCCGAGCCCGGCGGCGGCAGCGGCGCCGAGGAGCCCGTGGTGTCCCTGGCGGAGGTGCTGGCGGAGAACGAGGAGCTGGAGAAGGAGGCGCGGGCCGTGCTAGGGGGCAGCGACCACGAGCGCTGCAGCTACTCACAGGTGGGGGCGGGGCCGGGGGGGCCGCGGGCTGGGGGAGTGGGCGGGGCCGAGGGTCGGGGCGGGCTGGAACAGAGGGGCGGGGGCGCGGGGCGGGGCCGCCCCCCATTGCCCCCCCCCGCTCGGCTCTCCCCGGCACCCCCTCATTCCGTGGCCGGTCGGTGTCTCCCGCAGGGCGCGGTGAAGCGGCAGGCGCTGTACGCCTGCAGCACCTGCACGCCGCCCGGCGCGGAGCCGGCGGGGATTTGCCTGGCCTGCAGCTACGAGTGCCACGGCACCCACCGGCTGTTCGAGCTGTACACCAAGAGGTACGGACGGGACGGGCGGGGACGGGAGGGGCGGAGCTCGCGTGCCAGTGGCGGGAAGCGCGCGCGCTGCGGAGGGGATGCAGCGCGCGCCCCCTCAGCTCCCGGCGAGTCTCTCACAGATCCCGTGGCTCCCAATATACTCCTGAGGATTGTTAAGAACACAAAACCCAGTGTGTTCTCGGTTAATCAAACCCCCTGAAACGCTGCGTTTTTCTTTCCAGGAATTTCCGCTGTGACTGTGGGAATAGCAAGTTCAAGAATCTGCAGTGCAAGTTACTCCCGGTGAGTTCAGGCGGGTTTTCAGACGGTCGAAGTCAAAATAACACACTCCTGGGAGGTTGGTGCCTCTCCTCAGGCGGTGCTGACTCATGCGACGCCTCCAACCTTCCTAGCAAGTTAAGAAAGGTGGGAGTATTACAGCTGGAGATAAAACTGTTGAGGGACCAAAGGGAAATGTTGGGAGAAGGAACGTTTGGTCCTTGTCATCCATGAATGCAGCAATTGCTGCACTGCCAGCAGCATGTTGAGGTGTCTGCACTAATATATCTCATTAGTTTTACACTGGTTTCAGAAGAATCTTTTGGGCTGCAGTTTTGCAGTTGCATTAAGGAGATTTAAGGCTGTGCTGCTGTCAAAGGGACAGTTTCCTTTCCTTCTTTGTGGTGGCATTAGTGCCCTAGTATTTTTTGACAGGTTGTCACCAGAGCCTACTGATGGGATAGTTTTTTACTGTACTAAGGTGCCTGTGCTTTCATACTTGGTGGGTGTTTTGAACTTGTCAAGTAGTTGGTAATAAGTGAAGCAGTGTCAGGACGCTGCTTAGCTTGCCTGCAGTGTTGCTCCCAGGATAATAACAGTCCAAATGTAGAAACAGACAGTGGTTCTGTGTATGTCCACGTTATGCTGGGAGAACTGGGAGGGATCCAGAGCTAGTCAGCTAAGCTGCAGTACAGTGATCCCTACAGAGACAGGTGTGACAAGTTTAACATGTTGCCATTTCTCATTTAAGTCAATGAAATGGATCAAGTGGTTTTATCCTTCTGCATCAGTCCAGTGAAAATCAGTTGTACGGGTTAAGTGAACTTCACCTTTTGTCCGTTAATCTGTCTTGACACCACAGTTATCAGTTGTTACAAAGATGGGCAGACTTTTTCGTCTTTGCTTTTGAACATCAGCATTCCTCACATGCCTTGTCACTCACTTTACAGCACAGGTGTCTGGATGTTTCTTCTTGGATATTCAAGCTGATGAATGTAATGGTTGCTTTTAGGACTTAAAGTGGAATAGAAATTGTTTTTTTCCAGATTATGCATATTCTCTGTCTTTTGTTTTTCACTGCATTGTCTATTAAGACACTTCTTCCTTTCCTCCCAGGAAAAGGGCAAGGTGAATGCAGGAAATAAATATAATGACAATTTCTACGGATTATACTGTACTTGTAAAAGACCTTATCCTGATCCTGAGGATGAGGTAAGAAATACAAACCACAGTAGCAGTCGTATATAGATGGTATTTGTGCAAGATATTGTGTAAAGGGTAGTCACTGAGCTGCTTTGTAAGGAAGATCCCACTTTAAGAAATCTCAAGTTCCATATTGGTTATCATGTGATGTATAAAGTAATTAACTCTTTTTTTTTTTTCGATGGTAAAATGTATATGCCTTAAAGGCAGATGAGGAGGACAAACCATCATTTGGACAAAGTGCTGCTGCAGCTCTCTGCTTTCCCCTCTCTGGAGTTGCAGAATTCCCTCAGGGGATGGGTTTCTCATCATCTTGAGAAACGTGTGAGTGCAGAATAAGCACATTGCACGTGTTAGGAGAGACCAGAACCTGCTTCTGGTGCCTGCAGCTGTGCTCTCACAAGGCTTCTGGGACGGGGAGAGTCTGTCCTGTAGCACTGGCTTTAGCTTTCCTTTACAGTAGCCAGAACGCTTTTTCTCTGAAGTGCTAAAACACAGCACTGGGTTTGCACGTGCTGTTTGCAGCCACAGAAGTCAGGTGTTTTAAAGAATAAGGAAGGCACAAGTCTTTCACATACGAACAAAAGTATTTTATAAGCTCACCTCTCTGAAGTGCAGAGATAACTGAACATTTCTGAAGAGGTTCATTAATAATTGTGTCATAACAAAGCAGTCTGTGCTGTGCTGCATTGTGACCACTTAAGTTCTGGCATTCCTATACAGTCCTGATGACATCATGAGTATCAGTATTTTTCTTTTGTTGAGCTGCCTGTTCATGCATTTCTGTTTGCAGGAAGAAAGATACCAGTAGTGTATTAACTTTTATCAGCTCTTTGTGAGAAAGTCTTGCCCTGCTGGGAAAACAGGTTTTGTAATAATAAATGGGAATTTCCACAGCCCTAATAATATGACACATGACATGAGCTGTTGAACCTGGGGGAAGCAAACTGACTAGTGAAGCACTAACTACTTATTAATGGCAGCTCCCTGTGGGGGGTAAAGAGGGAAATGCAATTCACTCGAGCAGACTTTATATAATACTGCAGTTTGAGGCTCGTGAAAGATTCTGGAGGCTGCTATTAATGCTAATAATATGACTGTTCATCTAGATTCCAGATGAGATGATCCAATGCATAGTTTGTGAAGACTGGTTCCATGGAAGGGTAAGGAAACCATAAATAGCAGAATTGCCATTTGCACAAAAAATAGTTGCTGTTGGTTAGTTTTGTGTGGTTGTTCTTACTTGGGGAGTTTGCTGTAATTCTCAGAACAGATTATTACATGAGTTTTAGGGTATTTTGTTTTCATCCCATGCAAAGGAACATTGGAAGTCTAATCTTGCACTGCTGTCCAGTCCAGAAACACAGGGAAGAGTCCTACCTTTTTGAAGGTTACCACTTTGGAATAAAGTAATACCTTTATAGCTGTCTCCTTAACTGGGAAACTCAAATCAGTACAGTCCGTGAGGAAAAGATTCTTACTGAGGCACATCATTATCAACTACCTGAATAGTTCTTCATTCAAAATAATACCTTTTAAACTTCTAATTCATTTAAGTAGCAAGGAACAGACTGTGCTGTTTGTTCCTGATTTGGAACTTTGGGAAAATGTTTTAAAAGCAGCCCAGCACTGTGGTGAGTGCCCTACTTAATGGGTAAGCAGTAAGAATTCAGCCTCTTGTGCCTTGAAGGGCACGAGTGAAATTTCATGTTTGAAGTTGCAAGATCAAAGAATAAAAAAAAAAAAAAGATGATTGGCTTCAGTTCTGTATTCTGTAGATAAACTGTTGGATTCTTTTGTGTAAGTGTGTGAATGAAGACTTTTGTGCTGCACACTGAGCTTTGAAGGAATGCTTTTCAAAAGAAAGCCACTAAGTGCTTTTGATTGCCCAGATAGTTCTCATGAGTTTATGGAGAGCTTTGGGAGCTAATTCTTGAGTTACATATGTCATCAGTATGAAGACTTTACAGTCTTTTACACGTAAGGAAGGAATTGTAAAAAGTCATTTAAGAGTCGAAATGTGCAGCATGCAAGAGCTGTCTTCACCTTTCCTATGTTTGGGACAGTTTAGCAGAATATTATTTAGAAATGAGATTTCTGGGTATGTGCAAGGCATAAAAGGGTGTAGACAAACAGAATTATTTTGAGTTTTTCCCTGGAATTTTTATCAGCTCTTTCCAGTCTTTACACTGTTCTAATAATCACTGTAGAAAGTTAGCAAGAGTATTTGCTTGTGCTGAAAACGTGATGGCAGATGATGTTTTCCTTCCTTTAAACCTGGAGTTGAGTCTTTTAATTTAATTAAAGCAGCCGATGCTTCATTATTGAGTGCTTGTTTGTTTCTGACAGCATCTTGGTGCAGTTCCCCCTGAAAGTGGAGACTTCCATGAAATGGTGTGCCAGGCCTGCATGAAGCATTGCCATTTCCTATGGGCTTATGCATCGCAATTAGCAGGTAAAGCAAATCAGGAGATCCTAAACTGTGATACCCTCTTCCCTCTCATAGGGCTTCCTAGATTTTGGGAAGCAGAGTGTTTTAGAATGGGATATAAGAGGTGAAGGAGACTATGGTGATAGAAGGAGCAGTTTCTTTCTATAACTCGGTCACCGTGTGTTTGGGCAGCTTAGAGTGTATCCAGGACCTTGCAGTGTATGAGGGGGTCGAGGTGCTCTCCAACACTGCACTGTGAAGCAGAGAGAACGTCTGTGGTGGCCTGTATGGCACGGTATTTTCACTTATGTGCGTATGTATCTTCCAGTTCCTCCTTTGACCAAAGTGAACTCTCTTGAAGATGAAGGGATTGTCCTGAAGGTTGAGGAAAGTGAAGGGCAGAAAAAAGAAATAAAAAAAGAAAGCAGAGTGGAACTCCAAGACACGAAGGAGGAAAAGCAAACAGAACAGTTTAATGAA